CAGGACCTGCCGCTTTGCTGTTTGCCTAAGACATTGAAATGGGGCTGGAGATGAGGTCCTTCAGACTGATCCGATCGCTTTGCTGTTTGCTTAAGATATTGAAATGGGGCTGGAAACGAGGTCCTTCAGACTGATCGGGTCGCTTTGCTTGTTTGCCTAAGACATTGAAATGGGTCTGGAGATGAGGTCCTCCTGACTGATCCGGTCGCTTTCCGAAGTCAGTCAGATTTTGCTTGTTGATAAAGGTCCGACTCTTCTCCTTATGAGAATCGTCCAGGCTAATGTGTTGAGGATTGCATGGGTTTTGACTGAGAACAACTTGGAAAGTAAAAATTAACTAAGTAAGATACAGGTTGGTTGATCGTCGACTTGTTGCCTCACGACACAACTTTGCTTACGCCTGTACCTCAACTTGATTGCCTTAGCCTTGAGATTTGGTATGTTTCTTTAAAGGTTTTAACCAGATTTTTTTTTGGCCATTATAAAGAATGTATGAGATTTATGAAAAGTTGAGCTATGACTGGGGATTGAGGGTGTGGGGCATGGTGTGAGTTACAAGGAACAGTAAGTTGATCACATTGATGTATGGCAATGTGGCTATTGTGTGTGCATGTGTTTTATGCAGGTTAGTATTTTGAAGCTTGGTATATGGGTCATACTTTGGAGGCAGTGAGGATGACAACCATGTGACGCACGATCTGCATACCTGATGGGTTTATGTCTCCCCTTCTTTTATTTTATCTCGAGTCCTAATTTGATATATGAGTGTTGGGATTGGATGATTTTGCTTATTAATTTTGATAGTTGGACGTTGTAGTTCGTGGCAACCGTCGAAGTCAAACCCCTTGACTTTTTTCCAGACCCTGGATGATAGAGCTTGTCTCCAAGGCGATAAGAGACGATTGTCACCACAGGTATGAACCTGTGTACCACCCACTCTCCGCATGGTGCAGAAGAGGGTGTGGTTCTCAACCGCACTTGGCGGTTGTCTAGCGGCGAGAGATCATTCCCTCAAGGGGCGTGTCAGCCGACACTTGAGTGTCGAAATGCAACCCCGAGATTAACGGGGACCGCCTGAGTATGGGTACTACGTAGTACGCCATCATTGCGACTGTTTGCGTATGCTTGCATGGCTAGTCGATATGAGAAAGTCGTGCATCTGCGTGGTTTTATATTAAGACACGCGCGCGATACCTAATCGATTTTCGTATCAGAAGGTTATAGGCTGGATAGGTGGAAGTTTTAGTTGCTTCTACTCCAGATGAAGTGGGATTGATACCCTCCCCACTTCATGAGATGGCCCAAGCTAATGACCCCTTAGTCACCCCGGAGCCACAACTAGACCAAACTATGCTCTGTACGTTAGATGTGTCTGAAGCCTTAGAAGACTTAGAAAGTGAGTGGTCAAACAAGGACCCTCGTGAGTCTTGGGTGGCACTAAGGAAAGGTCCTAGAGGGGAACATTTCGTGGTGGAGGTCGATGTAGGAGGCCGCAAATGTGGTGCCTTCATAGACATAGGCTCCACGCTGAATTACATAAGTCGCGACTGTTTGGAAAGGCTGCACCTACAGGACCGGGTACGACACCTTAGTAGACCAGTAGCATCTACTTTGGCCAACAAGGAGCGCATGATTGTAACAGACTACATCAAGGACGTAGTCTGAACCTTCTCCTATGGAGGAGGTGAGCTTAACCATAAGATCTCGTTCTTGGTTAGCGACGACTTACCATTTGACATGTTATAAGGCATGTACTACCTCGAAGTTGCTAAGCTCCAGTTCGATTGGGATAAGAAGGTGCTCAAGCATAAGTTGCCCAATGGCCGAACTGTCAGATTAACTAAGTTCAAGGCCAGTAGTATTATAGATACCTATGGCTGCTTGTGCGCATCAGCGTTCTACAATTACTACAAGCAAAACCAAGAGGAGGGTATGTACCTTGTGTATGTCTCTGAGAAAGGGGAGGCCGTTAGAACACCCCCAAAGATAGAACGTGTCGTTGCTAAGTTCCCTGATCTGTTCGAGGAGCCCACAGGAGTTGTTGAAAGGGAAGTCGTCCACGCTATAGAAATCATTCTAGGGAGTAAGACCCCAAAGGGAAGGATCTATAGGATGGCCCCCGCCGAGTTAGATGAACTTCGGCAACAGCTTAAGGAGCTAACAGAGAAGGGTTGGATTCGGCCTAGTACTTCCCCTACGGTATTCGTACCAAAGAAGGGGGGTACTTTGAGGATGTGCATTGACTATAAAGGCCTCAATGCCATCACAGTGAAGAACGCAGAGCCTCTACCTCGCATAGACGACCTATTGGATAGGGTGCAAGGATGCAAGTACTATAGTAAGATAGACTTGAGGACCAACACAAGACAGCCTTTCAGACCAGATACGGTCTGTATGAGTTTGTAGTGATGCCCTTTGGTCTTTGCAATGCGCCGGATACATTCCATCACGCTATGAATCGGATCTTCCATGACCATTTAGATAAGTTTGTCGCGGTCTACTTAGACGACATTCTGATCTTTAGTAAGCCTATCGAGGAGCACGCACAACATGTTGAGAAGGTAATCTCACTCCTGCGACGGCACAAGTATAAGGTCAACTTAGAGAAGTGCGAGTTTGGTTGCACCAAGATACTATACTTGGGTCATGAAGTATCCGCGGAGGGAATTAGGCCGGAAGATGCAAAGGTGGCTACTATTCGAGACTGGCCACGGCCTCAGACAGTCACTGAGGTCAGATCATTCTTAGGAATGTGCGGCTACTATAGGAACTTCGTAAAGAACTATTCTACAATTGCCTTTCCTTTGACTGATCTAACTCGACTTGACACACCGTGGGACTGGAGTGATGATTGTGAGGGTGCTTTCAAGAGATTGAAGCATGCACTCATGAATCATGAGGTTCTCATGGTTCCCGATCCGCAGAAGCCATTCATAGTGACCACTGATGCAAGCCAATACGGCATTGGCGCAATGCTGGCTCAGCAGGATGGGAAAAAGTTGAGACCGATTGAGTACATGAGCAAGAAGATGCCATCAAAGAAGTTGGCAAAGTCCACCTACGAGAGGGAACTCTATGCTCTGTATAAAGCACTTGTCCATTGGAGACACTTCCTTCTAGGAAGGTTCTTCTACTTGAGGACTGATCATCAGACCCTCAAATGGATCAAGACGCAACCGGCTCTTTCTGACGCCCTCAAGCGATGGATTGACCCTCAAATGGATCAAGACGCAACCGGCTCTTTCTGACGCCCTCAAGCGATGGATTGAGGTCATAGACCAATATGACTTCAAGCTTGAGTACCTGAAGGGAGAGTATAACAAGGTTGTTGATGCGCTATCACGTAGAGCAGACTACCTAAATGTGCTAGTTTCTGACTTTGGCGTATCTGAAGAAGTAACTCAATCGTTGGTGGGAGCCTATCAGGAAGACCCTGTCACGATGGACATCATTCGCAAGCTTCAGGCAAAAGACAAGGCCACAGAAAGTGAGATTGTGATGGTGGACGGGTTACTTTATCTTGATAAGGCAGGAATAAAAAGGTTAGTAGTTCCATCTAGTGAACCCTTGCGTGGTTTATTTTTAGGTGAATGCCATGACGCAACTGGGCACTTTGGCTACAAGAAGACGAGTGCTAACTTATTACAGCGATTTTGGTGGCCTAGTATGTTTGATGACGCAAAGAAGTACGTAGAGACTTGTCAGGTCTGTCAGCGGGATAAGCCGCGAACTTAAGCACCGCTTGGGTTGTTGAAGCCTTTGCCTATTCCTGCTGGTCCAGGACAGAGTGTCTCCATGGATTTCATGGACACCCTGGTGACTAGTAAGAGTGGCAAGAGGCACATCTTCGTCATCATTGACCGATTCACCAAGTACGCTAGACTAGTGGCTATGCCAGAGACCGCAAGAACTGACTTCGTCATCAAGTTGTTCAAAGAGAACTGGGTGCGTGACTTTGGTTTACCAAAGTCAATCGTTAGTGATCGAGATGTCCGATTCACAAGTGAACTGTGGAATAAGACTGCAAAACAGATGGGCAGTCAACTTCAAATGACTTCAGGGAATCATCCCGAAGCCAACGGACAAGCCGAACAAATGAACAGAATTGTACAACACTTGTTGCGGCATTACATCAAGCCCAACCAAAATGATTGGGATGAGCAGTTGCCACTCATCGCCAGCTTGTACAACAATGCTATCCATAGTAGTACCGGCGTTAATCCTGATCAGTTGCACTTGGGATGGAAGCCTATATCAACACTACACTTCCTCCTACCTGAAAATTGACCCGCTGCATCTCAGGCACACTAGAGTATAATGTGCAGTATGAGAAGTTGCTGCAACAGGCTGTCGAGCATATGAAGAAAGTTCAGCAAGCAATGATTGCTTATGAGAATCAACATCACAGACAGTCCACATTTCAAGTAGGGGAACGAGTCTGGGTCAAGGCTAGTGAGTTAGGACAGGAGTTCGAAATCTCTCGCAAACTAATGCCTCAGTACTTCGGTCCCTGGGAAGTCCTAGATATAGTGAGAGATGAGATGGATGGTCCCACGTCTGTCGTTCGTGTCCCTGGACACCTACGCACTCACCCAGTCTTTCATGCCTCAAAGCTTGCACCTTTCGCTGAGACAGATCGATTCCCTTCCACGAGATCGATGTTGCCCCCAACCATGGATGGACAAGTGGACATCAACGACATTGTGGATCACAGGGATATGCCTGTTCCGAAGCCGCTGGGTCGAGGAAGACCTCCTAAGCCCAAAAGACATCCTAAACCCAAAAGAGAGTACCGCGTCAGATTCAGGCATCATACGGGTCCGAAAGAAGATCGATGGTTTACCACGGAGGAACTGATTGAGACAACTCCTCAAGTGGTGGCAGAATATGAGAGGCTACTGAAAGGGAAGGCACCTCCGAAGTAAGCATCTCAGCAGACTTTCGAAGCTAAGGGGGATGGAATGTGACGATTGAGCCCTCAAGTAGGGGCCTTGCCATGATGTACATGTTCTGGGCTAAGGCCCCAGCAAGCCTCGTGCCCGCCCTAAGTGAAGGCGGGCCAGCAAATCAACAAGAGCCCTCTGAGCCAACATTTCACGAAGTGGGGTCCATACAGCTGCAGCACGCCAGTTGGTTGGAGTGCACCGAGTCTCGGATTTCAGCAAATGCTGAAAGCCCAGGGCCTCTGAGTTAGTTAGGCCCTGGGCACTCGAATGTGAGGCCGACAATGCATTCTGGGTATAGAGGCCGAACATGCCAAAGGGAAATCGGCCCACTATCTGAATCTGGCCGCAGGCCTTGATGAAGGAGGCGCAACTACATTGCCCCGGGGCTCAACTGTATCGGGCTGGGTTCAGCCTTTGGGCCCCGGTCACAGGCTGAAGGGAGGCCGCCCACACGCTGCACTGGCATATAGGCAAGCAGGGCGAGTGGGCAGGGATCTTGGCCAATGCTGGCATTGCTGGCACGCTGCGTGGATGCATGTGTGCTGCGCAGTGCAGAGCTGCGCTGCGCTAAGGTGAAGCACGCTAGCGCTAGGCGGTAGGGCGCTGCCTGCATGCAAGGCACTGGCGGCCATAGCCAGGCCGCATGAGGGTGCAGGAGACGTGAAGGGCGAAGGTGGTTCTTCGGAGGTGAAGGGCGCTGTGTGGGTACAAGGGAGTGTGGGTGAAGAGGACACGTACCTGGTGGAGGTGGAGGTCGGCATTGGTGTTGACATCATCACTCGCTGGTAGTCAAGTTGTCTGGTTGCTTTCATTGCTGTAGTTGTAGGCTAGGCTGTAGAGTASATAGGGCCCCTGGCACCATTCATAAGAGAGAGCTACATTGGGTTATGCWGTTGGTGTTGCCCTGTTGGGCATGGACATTGACTCACGATTCTTCTGTATCATTCTCAATTGGATGGTTACTCGGTTCCATTGTGCTATCTGCTTTGGCTTTGACTACTTAGACTTCAGTGTGATATTGCATTCTGGATTTTTGTGCTTCGTCCATATTCGTGTTCCTTGCAATACTCTTATACTAATAATATTATCGTAATGTATTATTGTAATTTGTAGCAATGATTATAATTATGTGTGTGTGTGTGTGGGTGGGCGCGGTACTCACATACGCATGCGCACACAAACACACACTTACTTGCAAGGGAAGAGGGTTGGCATCGCAAGTTTGTTGATCAAGTCGGGATCCCAGGGGGCTTCGGCACGGGAGGGAGTCGGGATTGGAGGAGAAGAGAGATTAAAATCGTTGACCGGGGGAGGTTCGGAGAGAGAAAGAGTTTCCTCTCTTGGAGGGGGATGCATGCAACGAGGGGGAGGTTCGGACCAGATCAGGAAGAAGAACGTTGTGCTTTTTTTTTTTTTTTTTCCTTCTCTGCAACTTATTCGGTTGAAATGGGGATTGGGGGGGTTGGCATCGCAAGTTTGCTGATCGAGTTGGGTTCCGAGGGGGCTTCGGCACAGCAGGGAGCCGGGATTGGAGGAGAAGAGAGATTAAAATCAGAGAGAGGGAAAGGTTCGAAAAGAGAGAGTTTCTTCTCTCGGAGGGAGATGCATGCGACGAGGGGGAGGTTCGGACCAGATCAAGGAAAAAAACGTTATGCATTTTTTTTCTTCTTTTTTGTCTCTCCGCAACTTATTTGGTTAGAGTCGGGATTGGGGAAAAAAGAAATGGAAGGGATGGCGACAAAGTTTTATAATTAAAAACAAGTCATTGAGTATCTTTTTTTTTAGTCCATTGTCCATTTTTTTGGGTTTTTTCTTGGCCAACTTATACAGTTTTTATTTTTTAATAAAAAAAAAAAAAAACGACGTCCTAAGTCTTTTGCTGCTTTGTTTTTCATTTTTGTTTTTGCCTTAAAAAAAAAAAAAGCTCAGGACGCTGTTGGTTTCGTTTTCTTGGTCATGATATGACTTTGTTTCAAATTTTCGTTCTTTCTTTATTTTTCCTTTCAAAAAAAAAAACACTCATTTCTCGCTCATGATATACGTTTATTTTAAATTTACTGGTGACATGATTTCGTTTTAAATTTCCTCAAATGACACGTGTCCGTTCCATTTGTCGTTTGTGTGATGTGTTTTCTTCTTTATTCTTTACATATTCATATCTTCACACTCTCGTGCATCCATCCGACCCGCTCCGCTTTAGCTAATAGTTCGCAACGCGCCGAACAAAGAGCACCACACATGCACAAAGAGCGTCAACGTCGGTACAAACAAAGACACGCAGACAATATTCAGCCCCGAATCCACAACGCACGTCTTTACATATCAACACTTTTTGCTCAACAACTTCAAATCCAAATTGTGACTCTCGGTGACAAAACATGCTGCACATACTGCGAAGCGGAAAAGTGCCCCACGAACGCACTTGGACTTCACTATGATGTCTCAGAGGCAAAGTTGAACCACCACTCTGGACATACCCTGAACCGGGGAGTCTTGCTGACCGGATTCTTCGTATGTGGGAAAGTCACGATCGCTATGGCCGACTCCTTCGATCACGAGCCCGACAATTCAATAATACACTTGCCCTCGCGTCTAAGACTGTCAAAGAAACACAAATGCCACCCGAACATTGGCAAGGAATGCTCAGAATCGAAGGACAACTGCGGCAGTTTTTAGGACCTCTCATGCCGCAAGAAAACCAACAACCATCTTTCGCTCTGATTTACATATACGATCCCCTTGACCAAAATAATGCAACAACTTTTTCCGCCTCCATGGATTCAATCTACTGCCCGATGCCGCTAAGCACAACACAACAAATAAAATCCCTCCTACGAAAACTACACTATCTCCTTCGCCGGTCCAACCGTTGGGTTCAAGATTTCATAACGATGTCCGAATTTTCTGACCATATGATACAAGATCGTAAAATTGTTCTCAATCCTGATGTGCGTCCGTCAACCGAACATATGCGCAGATATAACAGGCCAGAGGGATTGCAAGATCTTTGTATCCTTATGCGAGATGAGCCTCTCAGGCGTGAAATTGTGATACATCGCCGAACTGGTGGCACTGTAGCTATTGCTGACACGAATCGAGCGTTTGATCCGCTGCATTATGTTATGCTTTTCCCGTCAGGCGAGAATGGATGGGTTGTTGAAGAAGGTACACGTTCCGATTCTGACATTCACGACATTACAACGCGCAAATTTTATGCTTTCCCACGTCCAACAGAACAGACAACGATTTTTCGTGCTTCCCGACTCTTTCAATAATACGTCTGCATAGCCTTTGTAAAGATCGAAAACGGACGCCTTTTGTTTGACCTTCTGCACCAAAAAAAGATCCGTGCCAAACTTTACCAAAATCTCCGTGATCATCTCATGCGTTATGATAAAGCTGAGAACGCTGGCCAGCGTATTATTTTACCTGCAACTTTCATTGGAGGCCCCCGTGATATGCATCGACGGTACCAAGATGCAATGGTTGTTATCCAACAACTCGGTGCCCCTGACCTCTTTATTACAATAGCATGTAATTCCCACTGGCCGAAATTTGAACAAGCCCTTCTTCCTAATCAACAGCCTGCAGATAGACAGGATCTGCTAGCTCGTGTTTTTAAAGGCTATCTTCAACAGCTTATACATGACATTCACTCTTCTCATATTTTCAGTGCGACCGCTGCATATGTTTACTCTATAGAGTTCCAAAAACGTGATCTCCCGCACGCTCACATAATCGTTTTCCTTGAAGAAAATGCGAAGGTTTCCACACTTGAACAAATAGATAACATTCTTTGTGTTGAACTACCGCAAAACGCCGAATTGCGTGACCTCGTCTTAACTCACATGATCCACAACCCGTGTGGTGCACGTAATCCGCAAGCTTCCTGCATGCACAACGATCGTGCACGCATTACTTCCCCAAAGACTTTCCGGACTGAACCACCTGGAACGGAGAAAAAAAATATCTCATTTATCGTCGCCGCTCACCGTCAAATGGAGGAATTACAATTACTATTGTCCATCACGATGAACTGGTCGATAACTCATGGGTGGTACCTTACAACCCCTATCTCCTCCTACGATATCGATGTCACCTCAATACCGAGATTTGTGCATCGACAGCAGCTTGCCGATACATGTTTGAGTATATTCTCAAAGGACCCGATCGCGCAATGGTCGCTGAAGCCATTGACAATAATGACGAAATACAAACATATCAAAATATGCGTACAATCGGCGCCATTGAGGCCTGCTGGCGTATCTTCGAATTTCCGCTATCAGAATGCTACCCTCCTGTAACTGTGCTACCGGTTCATACAGAAAATAAACAACGCATATACTTCAGAGAACATCAGGCTGAACACATAGCACACAATCCACCCCCTGAAACCGAACTCACCGCATGGTTCAAGTGGAACGTTGCACAACTCCACGATCCTAAAGACAGTAAACCACTCTATAAAGACATGGTTCATAAATTCCGATTTGACCAGAAAAAGAAAGAGTGGCTTCTCAGACAACGCTCTGCTAATACAATTGGACGAATCCACACCATCCATCCAAATGTAGGTGACACGTTCTACCTCTGTATGATGCTCAATTCTCCTCATTCTCGTGGTGCGACATCATTCGAAAACTTGCGTACAGTTACCGGTGAGGTTCATCCAACATTCCAAAACGCATGCAAAGCGTTAGGTTTTCTCAACGATAACACACAATTCGATGTTGTTCTCGAGGATGCCATTCCACCTTTCGACTACATTACCAATCACAATCCACTCCGAAAGACGACCCCCAAGAGTACAACAAATGGGACTGGTGGCACCACGTACTCCATCCTGACACTATAGAACACATCATTGACCATATTTTTTGGGAAGATTTCATGCCAACAGATCACTCTACTTTTTCCCTCTCTATGTACGCATTCTTCGCTTCATACAAGCACAAGCATGAACAAGAATTAAATTGTTTGCCGCCTCATCCCTCTGCAAATACGACATACACCCGCTCGAAGACATTTCTCTTATAACTGCTCCAGCGCGACCATTACCGATCTACAGGTTCTCGCTGTCGAGCGCACGATCCCCGCAAACAAGGGGACCTTCCCGGCCGCGTCACGCAGGATTCGGCAGGACTTTTAGTCGTAGAGTGTTACCGCTCCGGCCGAGTGCGCCAGCCATACCTCTCGCGAACCCCTACGACAGGATAAGACCACGCGAGGTAGAACTTACCTCCACCTGCGCGAGTTGTCACCATCCCTTAGGTGGGTGTATCCCTGCCGAGCTACCAATCCACAGTAAGAAAGCTTTTACATGCAATCGCAGAGGTAAACCAGCCGAGGGTGTTTTCTCGTACGCTGTAGCATACGGGGTACGAGTGGTTCCACGCCTTTATCGGATTCGTACGCAAGCCAACGCACTGGGGGGCTGAAGTCCCAAGCGCGACTCGTCGTCGGTCGACTAGGACGCATCCTTCTTACCACGCGTTACACCACGCCAGAACAAATGTCAGACCCATCTTTGGAGCTACCTTCTGCGTAACCTTCGCGTTCTGGCACTTGTATTGCGAGTGTCCGTACTCGCCGCAGTTGATACAAGCGCCACACGTTCGTCAGTCACGCCACACGTCTTGATCAAGACCTGCCTTAACCCATTCAGCCTGCTTGGTCTGATTGGAGGCGGCCTTCCCTTGACCCCTAGGTTGGCCCTTCCCTCGGCCACCGGCCTTAGCCTTTACTACTGCGGCGAGGGTGCTACCCTCAGCTACCTCCTCGCCGTCATACTCTGAATAGTCCACCAGGTCAGAGAGTTCGTCGATCTCAGTTTGAGTCCCATCGGACTCAACCATCATCAACTTCGCCCCCTTCTTCTTCCACTCCTGGGGACTCTTCTTCTTCTTCGAGTCTCTCAGCATTGCCTAGCGTGGCCTCCAAATCTAAGGCTTTCCTAGACAATGTCTCAAACGAGTGATACTCGACGCGTGCCTCACTGGCCAGCAAGTTCCTGATGTTCTCTGGGAGACATCTGACAAATGTAGTCAATAGGAACTGGTCGCTGTAGTTAATGCCTGGRACGAGGATCAKRCTCTCAACGGTAGTCGTAAGCTCTCTAACCGATTTGAACTTCCGTTGGTCCAGTTTGTTTACGGCATCAGTGGCCTTTTGTGCCTCCTGTGGGTTATGCCATCGAGCTTCTACCATTTCCATGAACTGGTCTAACGTTAGAGACTTAGCCCAGTCCGCCATGCGTCGCCCGTGCCCGGCCTTTATCACTACACCATCTAGCCATTTGGCTGCCTTACCTTCGAGGTAAGACGCCGCAGTTACCACTTCATCCTCCAGCAAGGTCCTCTTTGCCTTCACCCAAACCGGGATTGTTCTCAACCATGTGTTGAGTTCTTCGCCCTTTCCCTCACCTGAGAAAGCAAGGGGCGGTTTCATTGGGGTCGTAGGATACCATTGACCCTGCGGCTGTCCAGATTGCTGAACAGGTCGTTGCGGTGGTGTAGCTCCCACCGCTGGACCCGAAGAAGAAGATGCAACAGTCTGTGCGACTGATGCAGATGTACCACTTGGTTGTGTACCAGCTTGAACTGGAAAGGGGCCTGACATCGCCGATAACGGCAACGACGATTGTGCTGGTGGCCGGAATCCTGGACTTGTCAATGCGTCCAGGATCTGGTCTAGAGTGCTTTGCATGAAGTCTAATCTGCTGTCCACGTGCGCATGCAGCGACAACATATTCTTCTTCAATACTTTCAGCGGGTCAGTCAATGCTGACTCATCCAAGCCCTCTAATTCAGCCTCGTCAGCCTCTAAATTATCAAGCCTGGCTGCTCTATTTTTTATCTTTCTTTATCGGTTGCCTTTTTCAGGTCCTCCTCTAACTTCTGGCGGAGCCTCTCGACCTGTTGGATCTCCCTGAGCTCCCTCTCACGTGGGGTCAACGGGCTGAACTGCGAGCCCGTCATTTGACTAGAAGACTGTCTATAACCTGTTGAACCGGAAGTGCCCGTGGAACTAGTGGAACTTAGTGGCATTCCCAAATGAGTCCCATTAGTCCCTGACGAGGACGCAGACGATGACGCAGCAGAGCTTGCGCCGTTAGCCATTGCTGCTGCTCTGGCTGCTGTTGCCTGCTCTCTTGCTACTCTGTTTGCTTCCTGTAGTCCTGCTGCTAGAGCACGGGCTCTACGTTCGGCTATAAGCCGTCTTTCTTCTCCCGGTTGTAGGGCCTGGAACACGTGCGGTACCCTTAGTGCCTCTGCACGTGTTAGTCTCCTATTGTCAGCTCTATCATCAACAGGGTCTGACCCACTCATTAGTTAGGCAGATAGTATCTGCACTAGAATCCCCTAGTGGAATCCTACCGCAGCGTGTGTCTGACCGACACCTAGTTTTCTAAATATAGTTGTGTTCGGCGAGTCCCCTACTGTACCGAATCAAGTGGCATATCTACAACATGCACACAGATTGTCTACAGTGTCTAGATGTATCTTGATAGGTTCACTTACAGCAGCATTAGACATAACTGGCTATGGTAGCATACAACAGTCCTACCTAATCTGTCTGTGAGGTGTTAGCAGTCTATCCACCAACTAATCAAAGATACAAAAAGACAATGTAGCAGATGTATGATTGATGGGTATGGTTGTGTATACAGTTGAGCACCAATTGGAATCTACCCTTCCCCTCAATCCAACCATCCGGTCAGCATCTTGAGCAAAGCAGTGTTTTCGTGTGTGTATCGGCCCACCCCTGTGCCCAAGTCAGAGCCAAGTAAGCCAGCCAGCCCACTCTTATTTACCCTCGTACGGAAACGAGCCTTACACCCGGATGATCTGGCTGATCAGGAGGATTATTAAGAGCGCCCCCATCTCTTCAAGAATTCTTTAACGTCGCAGTCAGGGCGACGATCACAGCCAGAATCATTCCTAGTACCCAACCAGAAATGTTTATAGACGGTCTGGTAAGCGTCTCATACAAGGCTGGCACACTTGGCAAGACTTCTATCTGAGTGCAGCAAGTGCCAAACAGGACAGCAGCCATCGCATGCGTGCACTACTGGGTTGGCATGGTGACCGTGACCCAGTGCTTCGACCAGCGCCCTTCAGAGGCGCCGCCCTTTCTCCTTCCAGATGCTTCCAGGAAGATTGTCGTCTCTCAAGGTAGTGCTCTCACGACACCTCACCAAGGAGAGGACTCTCAAGTTGGACTCACTTCCTCACGGTAAGAAGAGATTGAGAAGGTAGATAAGGTAAGGGATCAACATACGTGGAGATAGCTGCCCCCAACCACAGATTTCTCACCAATTGAGCTGAAGTTGCATTTGATGACCGGTCCTGACCTCGGTACCACCCACAACGCAATGCAGTGCCACCTTAGTCCAATGCCACATCARCATGCTCTCATCATCAATCAAACATTCCGCTGTAACCCACGGCATACACYGCCGTAATAGCCTTCCGGTGCACCCCTCTCTACCCARGGCGTGCACCTAACGTGGCCTGACGTCACAAGTACCCACTGCGAAGAAGCATCGTCAACGCACCAAGTCTGTATAACGCCAGCATGCCGAAGGTAAGTGGCGAATCATACCAGCTCCGATACCAAATTGCAAGGAACACGAATATGGACGAAGCACAAAAATCCAGAATGCAATATCACACTGAAGTCTAAGTAGTCAAAGCCAAAGTGCAATCAGACTCGCTTTCAAACACACTTTTCACACATGTAAACAGTACGCAGCACACTGGCGACATGCGCCCACTCAAAACTCAGAGATATGGCTTTAGGTACGAGTTCACTCTCAAATGGCTATGGCGACTTCAGCGCCCAAACATCTCACTGTTCACATGCACTGGATCACCCTGGATATCCCACACGCATCACTCTAACACTCGAACACACACACTCACTACTAAC